TATAAATATTTGCTTCAAATGTAGAATAATAGAAGAAGAATAAAGAGCTTAGTGGAGCCAGAGACGAAAGCCGATATACTGTGTCAAACACTCTATTTCTATTTTGAGATACGCTTTTCCGATAACCTTTAGAATAATAATAAAAAAAGCAATTCTAGGGTTCAGAACACAAAAAACACCTATAAAAATTATTAAATATCAAATGTTAACTGCGATATGTTTTGAATTTATTTCCATCTGTAAGAGATTCAGTAAAAATTGTTTCAGTTTTTAAATATCAGTAACGGAGTTTAAAGTTTAGTTTTTTACATTTTTTTAGCACATTTAGCACATTTTTTTATTCGAAAAAGAATTTTCGCGTTCTTCTTTCAACTAAAAAAGAAATTATTAAAAAAAATTGAAAAAAGATATAAGCGATATAGTGCTAATTGCAATTTAATATGAACCTTACAAACATGCATTTTGCTATATTTAAGTGCGTGCATCTAAAATTTATAAAACAAATTTATGTCAAATATATTTAATAGGGAGATCATATAAATTCATGCTTTCACTGATTGAGAGTAGCGATATGGTTAAATCTTAAGTTTAATTTATTTGCCTTCTAAACTATCATTTTTTATTTTTATTTTAAATTTAAAAGGCTAATGTAATGGCATATTTTTGTTTTTAAAAAAAATTGATTTTCATAATTATGCTTTTTATGCTTTCTACACTTCGCATTATGATTATGATTTTTACATTATTATGCACAATTATATTATTCACATTAATTAACGTGTTTTTAATTCAAAAGTAGCTTATGAATCTGATTGTATTTATTAAATTAATTAACAATTATTTTTATTTTTTCTCCTCCTTATTTTTCAAGTAAAATCAAATAAGATAATAATAATTAAAATTTAAAAATACATGTCACCTGATGCCAAGATATGATTTTCGCGCTGTTTCTCCACAAGTAATTTTAATTGGAGAAAACAAATTGTTTGCCCAAATAAATGAAGGCTAAAATTATTTAGCATAAAGCGTTAAATAATTAGTATTTAAACTCTAATTTTTTGTTCACTTCAGCGAGAAATGGTAATACCGATAATGGTAACGGACCCATCAATCAATATTTAAACGATCCCCAATAAAACAGCCCCGGAAGAAAAATCTTTTGCCTTTGGTTGTGAAGTGTGACAATTTGTTGTCCAGCATATCACTGTCTCTTCTACGATGGATCTGCAGCTGTTTAATGCAAAAGAAGAGGGTGCCCGTATAATGAAAAATAAACAGCGACTGGGACGAGAGCTCAAAATGGATCTGCCCACAATTCTGAAGGACAGATGGAGAACACTTGGGTTGTTTTTAGCAAACTGCAAATGACTCAACTTTTTCACGGCATTAAAATTAACCATAAACAATGACGTATTTGAGTTATAAGTTGACTGTATTAATTGGTATTAATATTATATTTCTTAGTGCAATAAGCTACATCAGCGATTTTCTAATTTTTTAAGCTGTGGAACCCTAAGTGATAGAACTTATTTTGGTGGAACCTCTTACTTATAAATATTAAAATATGTATAAACAATTGTGAGCGTATTAACCAATAAAAGACTACTTTGTTTTGAAAATGTTTAAAAAACGGAAAGAATTTTTTTCATCGTTTTTTTTTTTTTCATTAATAATCTTAAATTAGGTTTTATACCAACAGTTTTAAATTAGTTTTTGGGGCATGTACATAAGCGAAAAGGAAACAAATAATCCATATTTTGATTTTTTTTTAAAACAAAAGCTAAAAAAAAACTGTTATAAACGTTGAAAATGGTTACCAAGAAAACATTTCGTTAACGAATTTAGTCATCTTATTTTGACTTAAGAAGCACGATAGGAAATATCAATGCAATTTTTAATGAATGCCGTTTCCTTTTTATAATACATTCAAGATATTGTTGTCCGAAAAGTCATATATGTTAAACAAAAAATTTTGCCCTTTTTTCATTGCCATTTTACTTTAAATAATTTCATAAAACAACCGAAATATTAAATAACTAATAGATTATTATTTAGATTTAAATGTAAATAAAATTTCAAAAATTCGCTGTGATGTAGAAAAAGTCTTAACTATCGGAACCCCTTTTACCCTTCCACGGAACCCTATGGCTTAGGACCATTTTGGAACCACTGAGCTAGATTATCTTACCTAATTTACAAGAATTAAGATTGAAAAGCATATAACGAATGCTCTAATTATTGCACTTAATTAGTTAATAAATTTGCTGAATTCATTATTGAATTCATCTTAATGAGATTGAACCAAATTCTTTATTATAAATCAATACAATAAATTAAGTTATTTCTTCAATCATGGTTGAAAGAGGGTCATAGTAATTCTATTGCTTCCAAAGAAACTATTACTAACTACTTTTTGCCATACATGTAATATGAAGGAAGGCTAGGCATAAAATAATGCAATTGCATAAGAAATTGCTAAAACAAGATTCTTCATCCAAGAAAGATTCTAAGATTCTTCTTCAAGATTCTTAAAAAGATTTTTAAACCAAGATAATCTAGAGTTTATTGATTCGCAAAAGAAAAGAGAACATCTATTTCCAATAAACTTGCATCAAGATATGTATTTCATCACAGACTTTAAACGTGTGACCTACACTGTAAAAAATTCCGAATCCAATTACGGTAAAAGTAACATCACCAAGTTTCCATTTTACTGTAAAATCCAATTTTACCGGAACATGTTGTGGAACAAAAAATATGATATGCAGTAATTATTACAGTAAAAGTACTGAATCGCTCTAATTAAATAAATATTGCTGAAAAAATTACGGATAATATTTTACGGTAAAAATGAATTTCACCTTAAAACTATTTAGTTTTACGGATGATGCACCCAAAGCCCCGATACTTAATACCGTAATTTGATTTGAAATTTTTTACAGTGTATCCTTACAGTTAAACTAATAAATGCGTACTATTTCTAACCACAGAAAAACCTCCCCGACATAAAATTTTTATCTGGGAATCTAAAATGTGAAAGAAAATCTAAAAAATATCATAAATTTATTAATTATCTGGGTGAAATAATGGAAAAAATTATTTTACTATAAAATAATTCATATGATTACTTATAAATTCACAAGAATAAAATTTACTCACAAAAGTATAAATTACAAAATTCATTTTCTTTTTCTGTAAAACATTTTCTAATGTGTGCTAAATAAGCATCATATTAAATTATTAATTCATTTTGGTCATTCTCTTCGTCTTCAGAAAATGAAAGAAATTATTCGATTAAGAAAGAACATTCATCAAATTCAAACACAATTTGAAATTACATACTTCACAAAATTGTCATAATTCACTAAATCTATCAGTCATATTTGCTGTATTTTCTTTTCAGAACTACTGAAAATTAACTACATCATCTTCAAACCTAACAAGATTCTGATTTTCAATTAATTAATTTAGATCATTTTCAAAATTAAATAATATAACAACGATTTTTGCAAAATCTAGAAAAAAATTATTTCAGGTTCAATTACTACGCTAACGTTATACACTTCCAGAAAATTTTAAAAATAATTTTCTCTGGACAGTTCTTTTGAAATGCGATAAAAATTTTCCAAAAAAAATTTTTTTTAGGAGGCGAACAACTGAAAAATAAAAAGCTCGCCTGTGCTCAATTTTGTACGTTTAAACTATTTCTGCGATCAAATACGGAGCTGACTCGACCTGACAGTGATTGATGTACACTGCGCGATCTGAAGAATATTTTAATTTCCTGTGCGCTACCCCTTCTGTACTGGACAAGGTCCTACAACATGCTGCTTCTCTTTTTTCAAACTCGTCCCAGCGTTTTTGCATCCAAAGTTGCTCGCTGCTTCTGTAAAGAAGGACAAGCTATCCCCCTTCGTTCTTTCTCTAGCTTCTAGCTCATACTTACAATCTGATTGATGCCTCCCACTATTCCATAGCCCAGTAAATGCACGACTTTGCTGATGAAACTAGATTAAGAGAGATGGGAGCAAAATAAGAGAAAATTGAAAACCGCGCTTCATCCTTCTTGAATTGAAATTATTTTCAGTGAACTAGTCAAAATGTTATTATAAAGAACTTTGAAACAAGTAAAAGAAATGTAAATTTCTTTTCATATACAATCATTTTTATATATATATATATATTTACCAATCATTTTTATATATATATATTTACCAATCATTTTTATGTATATATATTTATAATATTGTTATAATATAGTGTATTACAGTATAGATTTTACAATATAATAGTATAGTACTATATAATATTATAGTAAACTATTACTATATTATAGTAAAATATGGTATATTATCGAAAAATATAAATTTAAAGCCACATTTCATCCTTCTCGAATTGAAATTATTTTCATTGAGCAAGTCAAAATGCTACAATAAGGAACTTTGAAACAAGTATAAGAGATGAAAATTTCTATTAATATACATTGTTAATATTAATCGAATTATATTAATAGAATAGAATGTTTGATAGTCTATTTATTATATGTTAAAAAATAACATATAATATACAATATTATATTTAGCAATTTCACGGTATTTCTCTTTTAATATCCACAATATTCTATTGTTTTAGCTAACTGTTACTATAACCAATGGTTGAATCATTTGAATAGCGGCCATTAACTTCATATCGATTCATTTTGAGATATAAAGCCTAGAAAATCAAATAAAATTGTTGTTTCTTCTATCTTGCATGATTTGTGATAATCTCTGCTTAGCAACATAAATAACCTGGAGGTGTGCTAATTTTAAAACAGCATAAAACAACATATATATATANTATTTGAGTCAATTTTTTATATATATATATATATATATAGTTTGATACAAAATACAGATCAAAATACAAATTTGATACAAGGAATTTCAAACAATTCTGTTGTAATTATTAGAAAATATGAATTTTCAGAATTTTTCTAATCGCTTACTCTTCTCTTTTAGAGCCAAGTACCTACACCTGCAGTACATGCAAGCAAACCTTTACTTCAGCGTGGGTGCTAGTACAACATGCCCAACACATGCATGGAATGAAGATTTACCTTGTTACTCCTTACCATGGCAGTCGCAATTCATCTTCATCTTCCGTTCAACCTACTGGTCCACCACCTTCCCTCATCAATAGCAGTAGTTCTCTTGGAATTCCTCTTCCCCCGGTGTTACCTCCATGTTCAACCATGAACGGCCCCAGTCACCATCATAATGCCCACCATCATAATGTTTTACCTCAACAAGCACTATCGTTAGAAAATCATCCAGCTTTACAACTCTTGAGAATGCCTCTCGGAGAAAGACAATTTCCTCCTACATCGCTCAATCCGCCGAATATATTTGCTCGACCTTCTAGTCAAGACTTCCGAGTTGATATTTTAGCCACATCATCATCCACAAGTGGGAACAGTAACAACCCTGATGGTAATCAACAATTCCATCGTCTAAACCATCATCAACCACATCCACCACCACATTCTGCTCCTTCTTTACCGGGCTTAGGCATTGGTAACTTTGAACCACACAATCCTTTTATTGACAGGGGTCCTCTTGGTATTGATACCAGACACAGACCACCTCCAATGAGCTTAGGCTTTGAGCCACAAATGGACTTTTACTCGCAAAGACTAAGGCAACTAGCGGGAGCCACAAGTCCGACAACAGTGGCAGCCTCCCCTAGAAAATTAACCCCACCTTTCACACATCCTACAATGTCTTCCTCGTCACAACCTTCAACTCCTACTTCTACGCCTCAACCGGCGCTAAACCTTCACAATTCTTCCAGTGGCAATATCACTCCTGCTCCAAGTCATCAGCACAATAATAATCAAGCTCATTCGGGATCTTCCGCTTCTTCAACAAGTAGCAAAGGTGGTGGCGCTACAGATGCTGCTGATGGCTCCCCTAAGTTGCTCAAATCTTGGTCATGTGAATTCTGTGGAAAAGCTTTCAGATTCCAAAGCAGCCTGACTGTGCATAGACGATCCCATACAGGCGAAAAACCTTATAAATGTCTAATTTGCAAACATACCTGCAGTCAAGCTAGCAAACTGAAAAGGCACATGAAAACGCACCAAGGTAGTAACGGGAAAATGACAAATGCTTCTGAAAATAATAGTCTTGAATCACCTCGATCAACTCCTGATTCAACTTCTGAGACAGGCAAAGAGAGAGACAGACAAGTTGGGAGAAGCCTCGATGATGAGGAAGATGCATCAGATGGTCAGACAGCCGATAATGAGGAAGACGAAGAAGATTTAGATGATGAAGATGAAGAAGAGGAAGATGAATTAGATGACGAAGAAGATCTAGATGATAGCAATGAAATTATGATGGCAGAAGATCTAAGTACGAGAGGGCCTTCGAATTCAACTCCTATTCCAAGAGAATCTCCTTCTTCTGAACAAAATAAAACATCTAAACCTTCCACAGTTGATATTACAACGAATAACGATAATAGTAGTAATACAATAAGTGTTAGCAATGGTGAGAATGGAAGCAATAGTCGAGATAAAGAAAATTCTAAGCCTGAACCAAGACATTCTCTTTTGAGTGAAGTAATGGACAAGATTGGGTTAAGCAATATTCAACAATACAACGAAGCTTATCAAAAAGCTTTAGAAGAGAGTTCGCTGAAAAATTCACTGAAAGATGATACAGAAATATCAAGCCAGAAACGTAATTTTGCCACCGAGAATGGACCTGAACGACTGAACAACAAAGAAGATGGCAATAACAACATCAATAGCCACGGAGGAAGTAACAAATCAATGCCCCTGCCTCCACACTCTATGGATTTCGGGCATAGTATATTTGGTGCCTTCGATTATCATCATCATCACCATAATAATACATTTGAAGCGACTAAACGTTTAAAACTTGATTTTACTGATCATATAAGGAATAGCAATGACAGAGATCCGTTATACGCAGGTTTATGGTTACCATCTGTGCATGGATCCTCGAGCAGAGAAATATATGATACGGAATATTCCCGCCACATCAAATCTTCCTCTTCTGAAAGTGCCTTGAAGTCAGTCACCCCAACTAATATGAGCAGTAGATCGATGAGTCCACGTCCAGGTACCAGTGGAGGTGGAGCATCCGTCACTCCTATTCCCGGTATCCTGGTCAATTCCTCTAAGAGTGGCGCAAGTACCAAGGAACAACGCCGCAACGACACCTGTGAATATTGCGGCAAAGTGTTCAAGAACTGTAGTAACCTCACCGTGCATCGCAGATCACACACTGGCGAAAAACCGTACAAGTGTGAACTTTGCAGTTACGCATGCGCTCAGAGTTCAAAGTTGACACGACACATGAAGACGCATGGGCGTCTTGGCAAAGACGTATACCGATGCCGGTTCTGCGACATGCCGTTCTCTGTGCCGAGTACTTTGGAAAAACACATGAGGAAGTGTGTCGTGAACCAAAATGCAACCGGTGTAACCTACATGGACAGAGACTCAGACTCAAAAGACTTGACATGAAACAAATACTTCACGTCTAATGTGTTTCCAAGAATTTATTGAACAAAAATAAATATATAAATATATATTATTTTTCAATTTCTCTGTGATGTGGAATTTTCTTTTTATGTGGCTGATGGCCCTTGAAACTTTAGCCCATACATTGGTAATTTGGAAAAATTATGTGTGCATGTGTTCTTAGTGTGATGGTTTTAAATTTTAAATCACACACACTCTCCTATGAATATTTGAAGAGAAATATAAATTTAAGAAAAAAGCCTTCCCTTACTGTTGCATAATGACCACATTTTTTATGTGTGTGACTGAAACTCAACTTTAAAAAAGTAAAGAGTATTTAGTTGTATGAAATAAGTTTGATGATTCGTTAGATATAGGCTATAGAAAGTTTTTGAAAAATGTCTTTTTAGAGTTTTGATATAAAAAATTCAGGTTGTAGTTTGAAACAAAACTAACATCTCTAACAAGGGCTTATTTTCCTTTCTTGCTTTATTCTTTTCAAAAGCTATGGACCAAGCGGCTTTTTAACTTTTTCATTTAGCGCTTCTTTGCCTTTTGTTTATTCTTTTTCTGTTTCATATCAAACAATTTCATATCAGTATGCTTTTATATTCTTCGTCTAAAAAACATTTTTAAATATTGAAAAAAGAACTGTTAAATATTTTTTGTAGTTAAATACTAAATGCCCGATATTACCGTGTTTTGAGGTGGTTACATTTTAAACACTTTTCTTTTATATTTATTCGACGAATCTATCTCAGTTGTGTCTATAGCCATTTGTGGTAAAATATATTTTGAATGAAACGCCATGCTGTATGATGTAATTTGAAGAAAACAGTTTTTTGGAATCTAAAAAAAAATGAATATCTTTTATGAAAAAAATATTTCCTTAAATTTTATATGTTCGGCTTGAAACAAAATAGTTTTGTGCTTTTAACTCAAAAATTTTGAGTTTAAAAGTTAAGAACTATTAAGAAAGAGTTGAACATAATTCTTTTTACAATTTCAATAACCGTGCTTTCCAAGAAAAGAAGGCAAATTAATACCAGTTTGTATATCTCCTACTGAAGGAGATAAAAAAAAATTATACTGAAAATGTTTTCAGGAAATATTTTAGGAACTCGTGGGTTTTTCAAGTTCTTTAAAATATTTATATTTCAGTGTTTTGAACTTCTGTCAACATTTCAATCTGATGTGTAAACAATGTGGGAATAACATTGTTAACAGTTTCATGTATACGGTTACAGTTTCTTTGGGTATAACTATAAACCGCAAATACCTCTTTTAATTCCTATAATTAGACAAGATTCCGATTAGCAAAAGGTTTGCTTATGGTAAATTTGAAACATTAATTTCAAATATTTTGATCTTGGAAATTAAAATATATTAACATTTTAAGTAGATAACAAAATTTTCTTAATTTTATTTTCCATATATAAGAGTTTACACAAAAAGACGGATAATAGTAGAAATAAAAGAAGTTTAATCTTAGTTTTTCACCTATATTAATGTGTTGTATAAGATTTTCTTATAATCATTAATAATTTTTTTATTGATTTTTTTTATTCAAAAAAGTTTATCAAATGTGTTATAATCACATTTGATTTCTTAAAAACTTAGATAATTTTGATTTTGATAACAATATTATTTAAGATAAAGTAATTTTTACTAAGTAACATTATTAATCATTCATTTTATTTCATTAATTAGTGTTATTGATGTTGTTATAATTTAATTTATGCTATCACATAACATTTACGTCGTAATATGTATTTGGTTAACTTATATTTTATTAAATATTGTGATGTTATGCTTATTTATACATGAATTTTCAATGACTTTTTTAAATTAATTAACATTAATCAGCATGAGCATAATTTAGATTATTAATTTTGAATACTCGTATTACAGAAACGAAGGAAAGTTAAAAATAAGTAATGAAAAAAAAGAATTCTCATGCAATAAACTAATATTTAAAATTATTTAGATATCACAAAAATATGTTTCATACAGTTTACCTTTTGAATGCTTCTTGGAATTTTGCCTCTGCTGTTCTAGGTTGCCATGGTGTTGGTCATTCTCTGCATCTTGGAGTCTAGAATATGACAAAAGATTCCTATTATCTGGTATGTACAAGAGTACACCTATTTCTATGGAGGAGAAAACGAATGTGGTTTGAAAAATAATAGTTTTATATCTAACATTGTAATATTAAACTAAAAAACTAATCTAGGAACACATTTAAATGAGGTTAACAGTGGTAAATATTTGTTCTAATTAAATGCTTAAAATATTATTTGCTTTAAAATTTTAAAAAATTTCTTTTATTTCAACAAAATCGGAAATAAATCTTTAATATAAATAATAATTTATATAAACTAAAAATATCATATTGAATCTTAACTTAAATAAATTGATTTTACAAAACGTTTTGCCAAGATTTAACTACTTCTTACCAAGCATTTCAACATTTAAAATTATAACTTATCTAAAAAGAAAGCAAAAAAATGGCTAATAGGTTATGAGAAATTCAAGTACAAAAGTTAAAAATTAAACTCTATTTAAAAATATAAGCTTTTAATTTTTAAAATACAAATAAAATCGTGAATAAAAATAACATGGTGTAGCATTTCATTACAGCAACATTAGTGGAAATAAATAACAAACAAATCTTAACTAATTTTGGAAATTTTCGATGTATTTGATCGTCTAAATGCCTGTTAATTACTAAATATCCAAATCTTGAAATATTTTACCGTGCCTGAATCATCGATTTCAATAATCGATTTTGACCATTTTATTATATCCAAAACTGTCTATTCTAATTTTTTTAACGTTAATTACAACACAATTTAAACTTCTATATGGTTCAAATTCTCAATTAAAGAGTAAGAATCATGTTCCTAAATGAAATCTCCCAGAGAATGGGTAATTTTAAATGTATCTATATACAACATATAAACCCAGTAGTTTGAATTAAATTAAAATTTTGAAAACGATAATTTTTAACTATCTCCAATTAACAATAAAATCTTTTAAATCATTTATGAGACTTAACCTTAATAACGAAGATAAAACTTTGCGTTTTCAAATCACATTCGGATTTCAAAAATTAGAATTTTGTGAATGTGAACTAGTAAAACGTGCTGGTGTACTCTATGTTTCCTATTTCGGACCTCATTGAAAGAAGTTTGCTCTGTGCTTTAGAGCAGCTAAAACTAATATAACCTACCTCTTTAAACAATCTATAAATAATAATGGTGTATGGTCTAATTTCTTATGGTTTACTATCTATTTTTACTGCACGTTTCGAAGTACTTAGATGGAATATCTTTGATGAAGTAAATATCTAGCACTATTGTTGCCAATTTAAAGAAAACAAATAAGCGAAATTCTTCGTGTGTGGTGTGTTTCATACTGAATGTGTCGAATGTGTAAAAAAGAATTATTCGCTGTCCTGTACAGATGCATTTAAATGTGATTTTTCTGTCAATAATTTCACTGACACCAAATTTTTACCTAATGTAAAAAGTTGAATTGTTCGTTTCTGACGTCAAAGAATAAAAACTATGGTTCCAAATAATTCCTGATGAAGTTGCTCAAATCGTTTAGAAACACGCATTTTACTGACTTTCTTTATTGAAGATTTAATTAATTCCTGTGTTGAATTTAAAGCATAGTGTTAACTTCTAGAATCTTTAATTTATTATAGAAACAAAACGAACTCAAGAAAAATTTTACAAATCATTGTGCCAAACTGGGCTACAGCGCCATCTATTAGTGAAAAAGAAAATGAGTCAATTTTAAGAGCTGGGTAACAAATGTTAATGTTAACACTATGCTTTAAAAAAACAGCAAATTTTGTATATTAGAATTCGATTTATTGAATACTTGTTCTTTGTTCTATTACCAGTTTTAAAACCTTTTTCTTTATTATGCTGTTGTTTATCCTAGATCTTCCATTGTGGTTACTACTTTGTTAGAGTTCTTGATTGATTTGGGTTTTGAATCTTAGAAATTTCGCCTTGATTTGACTAGAAAAATTTCTAAAAATGTGCAATATGTAAATTAGAATTTTGAAGTGGTAACTTCATGGAAAATTATCATTTAAATTTGGTTGATATGGTTGCAGTCAAATATATGTGATGTGTTCAAATATATGTTTTATCTATTCCCTGTATTTTAATACCAATGTTAAATTTTCTGGTTTAATCTTATGGAAATTTAGAAATTTATCTTGACATTGTACATTTATCTGCACTTTATGCATGTTTTTAAGCGCAATGAGCCGTTTTTATTAATACTTTTAAGTCAAACAACAGTTTTTAATAAATTATTTAATCAGTACCTCAAAGTTATTTTTTTTTTTTTGTATTTAAACTCAGGAAAAGTAAATAAATAATAATAATCCCGCTTATTTTTACTAATCTCTAACAAATAATAGACAAAAAGAGTTGTTAGTTAATGTAATAACGAAATCTTTTATGTGTTTCTAAGAAATAGAAAAATGCAAAAAATTCTAATATTTTAAATTTGTATATATATATTCATAAAAATTCTCTAAAAATTTTAAACTTCAATATAACACTTTCAAAATTCACTTTATAATTGTTTATATTATGCATTAATTACCCTTTAGTTAAAAATTATTTTACTTTAATTGAAATAAATATTTTTTACTTTAATTTTAAATCAATTTCCAGATCATAAGTAAATTCAAATGTAATTCTCCACAAATTTAAAAAGAAATATATCAATTATTTTATAAATTATCGATAATTATTTGAACCAACATTAATTATATTAAATAATTATGTTAAATTCTAACATAGGTTTTTTGAGTTTTTTCAATATTTTATTATATTTCTTTTAATTTATTAAAGTTACTTCATTCATTTGGATTAAATTATACTTCAACACCAAAATCAATTATTTGTTTGTTATATAACTCTTCACAATAATTATTTAAATTTGTAACTTTTTTTTCACTCAGAATAATTAAATTAGTTTTGAAAAAATTAGTATTTATTTTCTATTGTGAGTTTAAAAATATTGTTTTCCTTTTTATATATTTCTTATCTGTCTATTAAATATTAATAAATTTAAGGTTTTGTAAGCATTTGTTACTCAGTAATATGAACGTTGAAAATATTTCATCAGTGTTAAATTCATTAATATTTTTATAACTCTATTTTTCAGATATTTTTAAATGTTTCATTTTCAAGCATGCTTCCAACATTATTTTTGCTAAAGAAATCAACATACCTTTCAATTTAATAGACGTGATTTTCACCTTGTTAATTTATTATACGTATTATTTGATATTTTCTAACTGTGAACTTTTGCACCCATGCTGTAATAACTATTTATCTAACTATTATTAAAACTCTTAACTTGTTAATATTAAGTTATTAAGCGAGGTTCGTTGATTGAATTTGATTTTTTCCTCATTATTTGCATGTTATTGTACATTATAATATTGTGAGACAAAGATTTTTTATTTATCTATACAGTTTGAGTAGTATGATCTAAAATCTCTATGGAATGGATACTTATTATTGTTTGTTTGAGCCATTTGCCTAGTTATAAAATACACTTTTTTTAAAACCTTTGTGTGTGTTTTTGTGACTTTAATACAATGCATAATAATTGCACCACAAACACAAGTAATAAATATCATACAAGTGATAAATTTCAATTGCGTTGATGAAATTGTAATACAATCTTTCAAAAACTATACTCTAATCATTATTGAGGTAATAATTAAACTGGAAACATAAATCATAAGATTCATGCGAGTGATAAATTGTTAATGAAGTTTCAAAGATTTCAATTTTATTTTAATTTAAAGGACGATGAAAAAGACATTAAATTGAGTGCATTTTGTGACTTAAACACGTTGAATAATCATTAAGTCACAAACACAATATCTTAGAATGAATTAAAGTAATAAATAACTAACAATTTTAATAAAATGTGTGTTTTATGACATTAACACTCTAGATAATCATTGCATCACAGACATAAATCATAAAATACATGCAAACAATAATCAATAGTTTTGTAAAATTTACAATGCTATCTTTCTAAAATTATACTGCATAAATTTCTCAAATTTAAATTTGATTTACATTTACCTCGAATAAGAAAATCCTAATGTATTTAACGTTTTGCACTCATTAAGTAATTACTTTAACACATTAAATAATTACTATATCATAAGCAATAATTATAAAATAGATTCAAGATAGAATATTTAGAATTTTCCGGTTAGCAGGGCGTAAGCGAAAAATCGTCGATAATATTAACCTCCGCCTACTTTTTTCAAAAATTTTTTCACTTTTTTTTACTTAAAAAATTTAATTAAATAAAAAAATGTTAAAAAAAAGTTAAATAAATAAATAAAATAGAATAATAAAAATAATTGAATTTCTTTGCCCTTGGCCAACCGAAAAATATCGATTATTGTAATTTACGGCAAAAGTGAAACACGCAGAAAAAATTATTTCCAAAGTATTTACTTTCACTTATTATTTTTTTAAAAAAAACTACTTTTAAACAACACTCTTCGTATGACATTAAATAAAAATAAAAATATT